GGGCGATAAAACGGTATCGATATTTATCGATGGTACACCTTCGATAACAATAGAAAAAAATGTTCGATATAGCGCACGATATAGGCACGTGCTATGAGTGACGCAGACAGCACACACAAACACATGCTGAAATGAGTGCTGTGCCTGCCTGTGATGAGGAGATTGTGAATAAAGAATGAATAGTCTAATTTAAAATAAACATTTGCATTTGAATGTTAGGTGTGCATCGGGGAGTGTCATTAGTGATGTGTGAGATGCGGTGATGTAAGTGACGTTGTAGTTGAATGTTTTGTTAGTCTAGCCCACGAGACGCGCCGCTGCTGCATTATTCATTCAAAATATTAGAGAAATATAGTAGCTCAATGCGGAGAAGATCTTGATTAGGTTAAAACCGAAACCAAGCCATTCACACAGAACGCATAATTAGCGCATTTTTATACGGACAAATATGACTGCTGCACTCGCGTCTCACAGAAGAGATGTATAGAAAGCCATGCAAAGTTAAAACAGTTTAAAATTTTAGAAAACACGTCACAAATTTGTGGATGTTTATTCCTTTTCACTGCGTCTTATAGGTTTTTAAATGCAATCTGTGTAATGGGTGCTTCGGCTCTTTGGATTTAGCATTGCATAAATACATGATGCCGTTTTGTTCATAATAGTTTATGCAATTTATGAAATTATATTATATTATATTATTAGTTAATTTAGACGTGATGCACGGTTTTTTATAGACAGTTTCCTTGTGTTGACAATTTAAATGCGCTGCATTATTTCGTCCTCTTGTGGCCTCGGGATACAAGCCAAAATTTTCCTTAAAACCTATTTAATCTGCATATAAAACATTAGAAATTAGATTTGTTTAATTTTTATTTAGTTTTTTTGTTTGATTTTTAAAACAAAAAAAGATTTGTTGTTTGTCTCAATAAATTGGGTTAAATAAAAAATACAGTGGTTAAATAAAAAAAAAAATTATATTGCTTGGTTTTAAAAAAAGGTTATAAAAAATGTCAATAATTATCGATACAGAACGATATGAAACATTATATAGTTGATAATTTTTTTTGCTATATCGCCCAGCCCTGTGTGTGTGTGTGTATGTATATGTATATGTATAATATATATATATAGGCTGTTCTTTAAGAAATGTTTATAAGAAATGTTTCTTGAGCATCAAATCAGCATATTAGAATGATTTTTGAATGATCATGTGACACTGAAGACTGGCGCAATGGCTGCTGAAAATTCAGCAGCTGAATAGATTTACATTATCAGGTCAATGTTACCAACTGATTACGAGGTTAATTTGTACAGCATTCAAGACTATACTTGAGTTTAAAGATTTTTGTGAGACTTCGACAAGTTACGCAACTTTAAACACAACATCTGAAATGCCTCTTTTAGGTATTTGTTAACCAATGTATAGTATACCTGAGGCAGATAAGCATTAGGGGTTTTCCCAACTCCATCTATGACTAAGAAACATGATAGGACAATCCCATAGTCATGCAGTATCCCTTGCAGCTACACAGTATTGTTTTAGAGAAAGAGCAAATATCCCCATTTACATGAAAGAAACTCTTTATAAACATCCATAAAACATTAAAGGTAATACATGCCACTACTCACTACTAGTCATTATGCGAAAAAAATATTTAAAAGACTCTAACACACCAATTATTTAATTATCAAAAAAAACATTTATATTCAGACTTAGTGACTCTTAATACAGATTGCAGACCAATTTTCAGATTAGTTTTCTGAACTTTGTCAGCAGATAGGCAGTTTCTCAAAGAGCACACCAGCTGTTCAAACTCTAACCTCTTAACTTCACAACCTGACCAGGGTCACACTCATTCAGAAGAAATCCTTCCTAGGCTTGAAGATAGCCAGTGGCTTAACACTTGTCGGCTGTGCAACTCTAGAGCAAGAAACCCTGCTAATGCACATGACTCAAATCCACTGTTGAAGATCAAGTGCCGTTTTCATACAGCCTATTGTCAGTGACAATTGAGGTGTGGGGGAAAAAATGCAACCTTAAATTTTCTGATGACTTTAGGGCCAACATTTACAAAGCTAATTTCACCATCTCAATTTAGTAGTTAAGCATTTTGACCCAGATGTACATGTATATGATGGGGAATGGGGGTTCAATGGCCATTTAAAGTTATTTATACTAAATGTGCAAATTTTAAATTTGTCACTCAAATTGATTTCTATAGTGCTTTTCACAATACACAGTATTGCAAAGAAGCTTTAAAGAAAATGATAATTTGTCGGTGCCGATAGCCTCGTCGTTAGTGCGTCGACATATAGCGCAACTGCGCTCACAGTGACCAGAGTTCGAATCCTGCTCCCCTCTCTCCACCCCAATACTTTCCTGTCATCTCTCCACTGTACTCTCAAATAAAAGGCACAAAAATCCCATAAATATAACAAAATGTATATATAATAATGTTAATGTTTATAATATCGTCATGCCTTATTGTCACATTTAACAAAGCTGAGAATATATTATATAATATACGCTTAAGGTATACTCGCATAAGCTGATTATAATATATAAAATTAGGGATGCATCGATCCGATACTCAGTATCGGTATCGGCTCTGATACTGCCATTTTCAGTCAGATCGGGTATCGGTCAGATGAGACCGATCCAAATCCGATATAGTGCATATAATATTCTGTGTTATTGTTAAGCCCCACGAAAAGGCACAAAAATATTATAAAGCACCATAACGTTTTCGTGCACTATATTTCAAGTGTTCTGAAGCCGTTCCATAGTTTAATGTGAAGTATAGATGAATATTTAAGTCAAGTTCACGTAAATTCTTCTCCCCGCTGCGTCTGTCTGTCATCCTCTATTCAGCATTCAAACTGCGTGTCACGTTCGGTTACTACAGTCAAAACGATAAAACTCTCTTCAAGAGCGCACAATAACTGAGATTTTTGTATCGCACAATAAAATATTGCACATATATAATACACTACGCAGCAATATCGCTTCCCTTTTTTATGCAGAGCGCTGCGCGCTGTGACTCCGTGTTGCTTCAAGCGCATCATTCTGCACACGGGATGCGCATAAGCGCTTTGTGCCGCTTTGTGTTGGAGCCATACCCTTTCGTTTTATACTTTTGCACAATGAAACATCATCAAGTCTTTTTTGTTCCGTTTCATCTATCATATGTTGCTGCCTTCATTACTGTGCTATGAATTTAAAAGAAATGTCTTTTAATTGTATAGTGTATATATATATATATATATATATATATATATATATATATATCGGCCACCATATCGGTATCGGCCGATAAATGCTCATTTTTTCTGTTATCGGTATCGGCCTGATAGGAAAATTTGGCCGATATCTTAAAGCCGATAAATAATGCATTATTTCCTTCAGAGACACTTCAGATGCGTGCTGTTCGTTTGCAGCCTTTTGTGCAATTGTACGTTGTAATATTGTGTTTATTTGATGTATATCTGATTTATCTCATATAGAATGCGTTTGGTTAAGTTAAAAGAGCGCTTCAGTTTACCGGTGATCATCTTTAGCTCAGCGCACGCAGCTCAAACAGCAGTGCACAACATTAATAACTATGATTGGGAATGTCGTGTATATAACATTCTAATGAGAACATTATTATAATAAAACGTTGTGAATTCTTTGGGTTTAGTTGCCGTGTTTCAGCGCGTTGATATGGGAAGAGCGCATCCACAACAGGATCACACATTCTGACTATAGCACGCAATAACTGCATCATTTTGTACATATATAAGTTATAATATTATGTTTATGTTGTATTAATATTAATCTCAGGATGCATTTCCTTGAGTTAAAAACCTAGTTTATAATAGTATTTTTTGTCATAGATTATGATTATATATTTTTTCATTAAAATGAAGTTGTCTATATTTAGCAGCTTATGTTTAACACACACAAGAGTGATGATCAGGTCACCCCACAGAAGTATAGAAATTCTACATTGATTTTATAAAAAAATAAAATAAAAAATAAAAAACCTGCGCTCGGATCGGAATTGGCCGATAGTCCGAATTTTTGGTATCGGATCGGTTCTGAAAAAATGGTATTGTTGCTATAAAATTGCTCTATGCGAGTATACTGCATGTATGCGTACATTATTATAAACATATAATTACATTTAGGGACTAAAAGACTCAAGCAGCTGAGATTTACTATATATCGCTGTATTTGATTTATATACAGAGCAGTGTGATAATACAATAATTTTTGCTGCAATAGAAATTTACATTTATTCATTTAGCAGCTGCTTTTATCTAAAGCTTTAGAAATGAGTAACACAAATGATACATTTTAGGAAGGCAATATCATAAGAGATGGCAGCCAAGTTTTAAACATGGTCTAGAATAGTATAAGCAAGAACAGGGAGGGATTTAGGAAACAGTATAAGCAAAGTATTTTTTTTAAATATTTAAAAACTTGCAGCTTAGGTTGTACTCTAAGATGAGCGAATACTGAAGTTGCCAGAAGGACTTGGAAGGATCCAGTATCTTTAACATTAACTACAAAGGCTCCATTCAATCTCAGAGCATCCATCAATGTTATAGCTTTTCTTCTGGGGTTAGATTTCACAAGCTAGTGGCTTCCTTTGAGAATCATATTGCTTTTAGCTAGAAGAGAGTCCACAGTTCTCTACACCACACACAGGTTGCATTAAATACAGTTAGATTGTATATAATCTTCCTAGTTCTAATATTCCTAGTTGTCCCATTTTACAGTATAAGGATGAGCACGTGGTGATCTGTTCCCTCCTTTCGGGTCCAAACACAGGCTTATATGGAAAGAGGTCGATGTGCTAATGGTAAGCTTTGTGAACGATTAATGATTAACATGCTAATTGCAAAAGGAAATACCAATGTGACAAGCTTGTGTGAGCTTCTATAGTAGAGCAAATACCTGCAATTCTTGGTCAAGATAAGGAGGCATTAATGAGTGTGTGGTAACTCTCTCTTACTGTTGCTGGACTTGAGGTCTCGGTGAATAATGGGAACCACAGCCTCCTCGTGGAGATACTGCATGCCTCTGGCGATCTGGACGGCCCAGTTTACGAGGATATGAGGGGGGATCCTCCTGCACGTCAAAGCGCGGTTCAAAGTCCCTCCTCGGGCATATTCCATGACCAGACACAGGTTAGGCTCCTCCAAACACACCCCCTCCAGTTTAATAATATTAGGATGTTGAAGCATCGAGAAAAGTTTGGCTTCTTGCTTAACACTGTCTGCAGTCGCTTTAATGTCCTCATCGGGGTCCTGTCGAGCTGCCTTTACCGCGACCTCCTGGTCCTTCCAGGTCCCCCGGTAGACTTTGCCAAACCCACCGACGCCGATGATTTCTTGTAGAACAAGTTCAGAGAACGGTATCCGAACAGGTGCGGACGGGTCGCTCTCGCGAGCCCCTACCGCTCTATAAATGGCTGGTTGGTAAGTAACATAATTAGATGGGAAGATGCCCACGCGATGGTTAATTTTACCAGTCCACCAGCCTTCGTCTCCAGAGATGGCAGCGTCCTTAGACAGGACCTCCACCACATCTCCTCGCTGCAGGCTGAGCTCGTCCTCCCCGCTGGCCTCGTAGTCAAACACCGCGGTCCAGAGCGAGCGGGGACACACGGGTGCAGAGTGAGCCCAAGTCCCCGAGCTGGAGGACTCCGTCCAGACATGGTCTTGGAGGCTCAGGCGCCCCTCACCGTTTGGGAAAACGGCCTGGGGAACATCCATGTCTCGGTGCCTGCAGGAGCACCATAGGGTGCCGTGATGTCAAATCTAAGTAAACTAGTCCAGTAGTCGTATTCCCCAATGATACATACACACAAAAAATTCCTAAGAACCCCAGCCAGGTCACTTTATATCATTAATGGAGAGTCGGTCAGGTTAAATCCGGCTTAATAGAGGTTAAGGGACGCATTGCTTTGTTTCCACGTAAGCCAGATAACCAGTCTGGGAGTGCGAAGTGCCTCTGAAGCTGGGACATCAGCATTAGCCAGATATACAAACGAATTTCATCTTTGTAAAAATGAAGGTAAACAACATACCTAACCGGGAAAGTCGAGAGAGTTTTCAAGCCGTGAGGCTACAGGTGCAAAGTACCTGCTCATCCCAAGCGAATGAATCAAGCTAAATATACACACGATTAATCCACTACCTAAGATAAGTTACTAATTAACTTGCGTGTCTACATGTTACTGCATGCCTCTGGCGATCTGGACGGCCCAGTTCACGAGGATATGAGGGGGGATCCTCCTGCACGTCAAAGCGCGGTTCAAAGTCCCTCCTCGGGCATATTCCATGACCAGACACAGGTTAGGCTCCTCCAAACACACCCCCTCCAGTTTAATAATATTAGGATGTTGAAGCATCGAGAAAAGTTTGGCTTCTTGCTTAACACTGTCTGCAGTCGCTTTAATGTCCTCATCGGGGTCCTGTCGAGCTGCCTTTACCGCGACCTCCTGGTCCTTCCAGGTCCCCCGGTAGACTTTGCCAAACCCACCGACGCCGATGATTTCTTGTAGAACAAGTTCAGAGAACGGTATCCGAACAGGTGCGGACGGGTCGCTCTCGCGAGCCCCTACCGCTCTATAAATGGCTGGTTGGTAAGTAACATAATTAGATGGGAAGATGCCCACGCGATGGTTAATTTTACCAGTCCACCAGCCTTCGTCTCCAGAGATGGCAGCGTCCTTAGACAGGACCTCCACCACATCTCCTCGCTGCAGGCTGAGCTCGTCCTCCCCGCTGGCCTCGTAGTCAAACACCGCGGTCCAGAGCGAGCGGGGACACACGGGTGCAGAGTGAGCCCAAGTCCCCGAGCTGGAGGACTCCGTCCAGACATGGTCTTGGAGGCTCAGGCGCCCCTCACCGTTTGGGAAAACGGCCTGGGGAACATCCATGTCTCGGTGCCTGCAGGAGCACCATAGGGTGCCGTGATGTCAAATCTAAGTAAACTAGTCCAGTAGTCGTATTCCCCAATGATACATACACACAAAAAATTCCTAAGAACCCCAGCCAGGTCACTTTATATCATTAATGGAGAGTCGGTCAGGTTAAATCCGGCTTAATAGAGGTTAAGGGACGCATTGCTTTGTTTCCACGTAAGCCAGATAACCAGTCTGGGAGTGCGAAGTGCCTCTGAAGCTGGGACATCAGCATTAGCCAGATATACAAACGAATTTCATCTTTGTAAAAATGAAGGTAAACAACATACCTAACCGGGAAAGTCGAGAGAGTTTTCAAGCCGTGAGGCTACAGGTGCAAAGTACCTGCTCATCCCAAGCGAATGAATCAAGCTAAATATACACACGATTAATCCACTACCTAAGATAAGTTACTAATTAACTTGCGTGTCTACATGTACAAAACCTCCACACAGACACTCTCTGGCAAGTTGAAACACTTTACACGAGCAGGCTAAAGAGCTATGCTAGCGCGTTAGCTCTCTCTCCGAAGTTCACAAACTCGTAAGTTAACTTAACTGCAGCTCGCAAAATTCCGCCGTCGCAAGGACTCGTCGCGCGCGCGCAGCAGGAAACCTTTCGCAGAGTCAGTCTAGTGCGCACTTCAGTCATCCACTAGCATTGCAAAACCGACGGCTTTCCTCCCTCGCCTAGATCCAAAGACTTTTTCAGAGCAGCTAAAACTTTGCTTGCTAAAGTCTATGAGCGCACCGCCATCGCTCCGCTCCTCCGACTCGACTGACCAGACTGAAGGAAAAGGTGGAAATAGATTGGTTGCAGGAGTTCACGTGACACTCTGCGTGATGGCAAAACAAAAGTGGGAACTGGGAATTTTTCTTTTTTTAATCTGCGGTGTTATGCTACGTCTGGAGATTAATAATGGAGTCTGACTGGATAAATCAATCTGCTTTACCCTACACTTTACAACATGCAGCTTACAATATGTTAGTATGTAAGGATATGCACCGACTGGCCTTGATAAACAATTCTGTATTGTTTATAGGCCTATAGCCTACCTGTAATGTTACATTAATGGGATGATTTCAAATTAGAAAAATAAACAAACAAATAAATCAAGACAGTTATTTTTTGTTACCTATATAACAATAAATAAATACAAATGGAAAAAAATGCAGAATTATCAATAATTAATAATGAATATTTTAGACATAAAATCGGCAAAATGTAAAAATATTTTTGGGAAACTGAAGAATGTTGTAGCACATTTAGATACATTATATTCCCATTGTATAATATTCCCATTATATTTGTCTGCGACCAATGAAGGTTAATTTTAAGTCTGGCCTTTATAATATTGTGTGTATCTATATCAATTTATTGACATAGCCTATACTTCATGGCATCTAAATCACATCATTACAAAGTATCACAATGTATCATCTTATTCACATTCCCTTGCATAATTGTTTATAGCATATCTGTACACACACACACACACATGGTTGTTTTTGTGAATTGTGTGGACTTTCAATAGACTTCTATTACTTTTACTTGATCTTAGTGCTGCATTCGATACTATAGATCATGACATACTCATAGATCGATTACAAAACTATACAGGTATTCAAGGGAAGGCTATAAGATGGTTTAGATCCTACCTGTCCGATACCACCTTGTTCATTTAAATGGGGAGTCATCTCAATTATAACCAGTAAAATATGGAGTGCCACAAGGATCTGTCCTAGGTCCTCTGCTATTTTCGATATACATGTTGCCCCTTGGTAATATTATTAGAAAATACGGGATTAGTTTCCACTGTTATGCCGAT